TGGTTTCTCTGGGCTGATGGCCTGTGTGATAGCTTTCCCAGAAACTGGGAACTTGACTAACTTTGGGGCCCCGGCATCCACTTGTGGCCCTGGCCACATGCACCCCCCCCAATCTTGAGCCATTTGGGGGTCAAGGCAGCTGCCCATGTGACTCCCCTCTGCTTGTGGGCCCATGGGAGGCCCCCCCCATGTGCTGCTCCCAGTGACTGCAAATTGCACCTCATGACTCCCTGGTGAGATGGGGGCCTTGTGAAGAACCGCTGGCCAGGGCAGCCTCCTGCACTTGGCTCTGCCAGGGTCTCTCTGCTCCCGCAGCAAAGGGGTCGGCTGCAAAGGCAGGTGGCTGTGTTCACCCATGTGAACCATCGCTGGCTGGTCCTCTAGGGGAAGCACTTGGGGCCTACTTCCCTGAGAATGTTTGAACCATCCGAACGGGAAGCCTGGGATTTTGCAGGGCACAGAAACCCTCCTGCATTGTGGGCTCATCCCAAAAGAAAACGCATCCCGGCGCTGTACCCACAGAGCCCTGGGGACTCCGCCTGCAGGCGTTTCCCTCTGACAGCTCCCATGCTCTTCTGTGGCCTTCGCCCTTCTTCTGTGGTCCTTGCTCTGAGACTCCACCCTCATTGTCCCTGGCCCCATCCACCTCGCTCTCCCTTCCCGCGCCTAGAAGCTCTGGGAGGAGTGGCCACCTCCTGCCCTTAAGAGCGAGCCTCCTGGGCTGGGAGCTCAGCCGTCCCCAATTCTAGACCCACTCCAGCCCCCAGCCCACCCCCGGGGGCACCCTTGCTGGCCCTGAAACAGGGAGAAGCTCAGACACTTGCTGCTGAACCCAGACATATTTTTCAGATGGAATCAGGGTTTTTCCTTTCAACAGGAAGTCGGTTTGAGTGGCAAATTCGCTCTCCTTCAACCTACTGAGTAGTAACAAAGTTGAGTTGTCAGCACATTCTGGTGTTTTCTTTCGAATCCCCACCATGTCACTGTGGTTACTAGGCAGGGGCACAGTGGGTCAGCTTATAGGGGAGGGCAGGTTTCTAAATTGTAGTACACCCCCCCAAGCTGAGAGACTTCAAAGGAGAGCCAGGAAATAAAATGTCTGTCTCCTTTCCTGAGCCCAACATGGTGCCCCCTCCCTCTCTCACAGATGACATGGTGTCCCTCTCCCTCTCTGGAGGCTGTGGTGGTGTCCCCTCCATTCTCACTTAGACGGTCCCTTTAGAAATGTGTAGCATTCTTGTTAGGACTACCAAGTACTGATGGTTGCCTGTGACGTCTTTTTTTTTAAATGAAGGCAAATCGAAGGGAGAGTGGTTGAAATTTCCAGACTCCAAGAGATATTCACAGAGAAGGTTTTACAACAGGTAAGAAAGAAGAAAAACTATCGTTTAAAGTTTTAGCTTAAAAGACTATACTATGAAGTCCGGATATTTCTTGTGAGGTTGCCTGATCTCTGCAGCCGAGCATCCCGAGCCGTGTGCTTTGGCCCATGGGCACTCAGAGGGCTCCTCAGGGGAGGTCCTCTGGTCCCCCTGGTGCAGCCGCTGTGCGTGGCGGGGAGCTCTCTGCTCTGGACCCACTGGGCGGCCCAGGCCAGACCGAGTGCCGCCCCGGGCATGCAGTGGAACACATGGTGAAAGGAGTCAGGTAGATCTTCGTTCTGGATGCCCTCGGGTAACCATGGTAGCCTCCCAGCTACAGTTTGCCTGTCTATAAAATGGAGTGACCCCTGCAGGGCCGTTGTAAGGCTCAGAGATAACCCACAGGAAGCATCCGGCACAACGCCTGCTGGGTGGTAGCTTCTCAGTCGACCTTTACGAGAGCCCAGACTTGGCCCTCTCCGAATGCCAGGTCCGTGCCCTCATCTGTCATGTCCACACAGCAAACAGGATTGTTCCCATAAGAGGATTTTCATGTTACTTGTACCTGCCTCTCCTGCTAAAATTCCTCCAGCCAGTAACTGGCAAAACTGTTACAGACCTGATCAATTTGTCCTTTTGTTTGTAGCATACACAGACCATGGAAGGGTTTCAAAGACAGAATCATTGGCTCTGTTGTATGGAACTGGGCTAGTTGGCTTAAGATACCCCACTCACAAAACCTGCCCTAAACCTCACAGCCATGAAGCCTAACAGTTTGGGAGTTCAGGTTCGTAAGAGCTGTCCTTTTTAATAGCACGCTGAAGGAACTCTTCACTTAGAAGCGTCCTGACACCTAAAACAGTGAAGTCAGCGGTCCGTGTCGGAGCATACGCCTTGTTTCTAGAGGCAGCTGGGCATGGGAGGAGAGCTCAGAGGCCAGGCAGGGTCAGACGGACTGGCTCCGACCCGGGGTGCCCTCCACGGCATGGGGCAGCTGTCCCCTGCCTCGCTCTCGGAGCTGGAGTAGAGGTACCTGACCCACGCCTGGCTCATGGCAGCCTCTCAGTATGTGGGAGCTAATGTTTGTACATTTTAGCCCTTTTTTCTCTGGCATGTGTTTTAGAGCACACGTGTGTGGAAGCTTACGTCTCTGGACGTCATAAAGCGTAGAGACCAGAGGGGAAGCCCCTGGCCTGTGGTGGCTACTGTGTAGTCGGCAGCTCTCGTGTTTGTCCCTTCCTGCCGGGCAAGTGGCACCGCAGGTTGCCGCTGGGGGTGGAAGGGGCACAGGCCCTGGGTTCCAGTCCTGGTCCTGCCGCCTGGTTGCTGTGTGACTTCGGGCAAGTTACCAAACTTCTCTGAACCCTAAGTTTCCCTTTTGCAAAATGGGGTTGCTGCCTAACCTTCGGGGCGCCGTGAGGACTCACGGGCTCATATTTGTAAAGTCCCGGCCCTTCGTAAGTGGCAGCTGGTGGCTTCTGGTGTCTTTATGCTTGGGGAAGGAGACAGAGATTGGGTCTACCTGTCACTCTCCTTCCCCAGGAAGCCGAGATCGACAGCATTCACCAGTTAGTTGTCGGAGCAACCGAGAATATCAAGGAGGGTAATGAAGACATCAGAGAGGTGAGAACTCGCGGGCCCCCCAGGCCTCCCCAGTGTGGCACTGAGTCCCGGCGGCCGCGGTCGTCATGCTGGGAGGGCCGCCTGAGCGCCTTGCTGGGGCCCAGCCCCCAGGGCTCACCTCCTGACGGCGCCGGATGGTCCCATTTCCACCCCTGACAAACCCCGGGGCCTCCGCCGTTACCAAGAGCTATGACTCACCGGCGTCCAAAGGAGCGATTGGAGGCACATGAGGTCACTGTTGGCAAGGGCTGGACCAGCTCCCTCAGTCCAGGGGTGGGCGCCACTGGAGAAGCTTGTTGAACGCCCCCACCCTACCCCGAGGGCCAGAGCCCTGGTCCCTGTTTTTGGGGGCCACAATAGTGGACTCTGTTGAGCAGACTGTCCTCTGAGCGTGGTGCTCGGGCTGGGTTGATGGGCCACCACTGCCACTGGACTGCTGGGGGACCGTGGCCGGCCGGCCGTGGCGCTCTAGGTCCGTGTGTGTGGCTTTAACCCTGGGACACACGTGGGCCGTTTCTGGGTGTTTCCTGGGAGAAAGGTGCAGGATCTCTGAGTAAGGGCCAGCGAGTGAGGGAAATACCTGTTTGTTTGCTGATGGATTCTAAACCCACTCTATGGTCCTGCTGAATGATTACGGTAAGCAAAGGCCCCAGCAGTATACCTACAGCCCAGCGGAGGGAGAGTGCATGCGGACAGGTGGGGCACTCGAGGGCTTTTGAAAGCAAAAATCCCTGGTGACGCAAATCCCTGAGCTACTGCCCCCCCTCCCCGCGCCCCGCCCCAGGCCATTAAAAACAACGCCGGCTTCCGCGTGTGGGTCCTCTTCTTCCTGGTGATGTGCTCCTTCTCCCTGCTCTTCCTGGACTGGTACGACGGCTAGCCTGCCCTCGCTGCTCCTGGCCGATGGCGCGCCGTCGGGGGTCTCCGCAGCGGAGCCGGGCTGCGAGCGGATGGTATCATCAGCCGTTTGGGGGGGGGAGGGGGCTGGGACAGACGGACACTCTCACGAAGGGACACCCAGACCTGTGGTTTTAAGCCCATTTGGTAGCTGAGAAAGAAAATAATGAACACAAACGGAAAGGGGCCTGTGTAGCGATCCTGACACAAGGTGGGTGAGGTGGGGGTGGGGGGGTTCCCGGCTGCACCTGCACCGGAGACCATGTGGAGGGGCTGCCCGGAGGCCGGGCTCAGGGAGGCTCCCGCTTTGCCCTTCTGGTGGCTTCGGGAAAAGCGCTGGCTAGTAACTTCACAACAATGATCATTTCTTTGTTTCCTGTGGCGTCTTGTCTGCCTGAGCCCTGTGATAGTCACCATGTTCTAGAAAACGCACCTTTGCCCTGTTAATCTCATAAATGCAACTAGAGCTCCTTCGTGTCCTGTCGGCGGGTCCGAGCATAGACGTGCAGCGGACACCTGCCTGCCGGGTAGGGAAGAAGTGTGGGGACAGACTCTGGGTACTTGGCAAGGGGCCCCTGGGGCCCGAGGAGCTTTTGTCCAGAGCAGGAACCTGGCCTGCGGCTCCTGGACCTGTGCGCCTGACCGTCGAGGAAACAAATAGGAACGCCTGTTTGCAGTGGGAAGCCCGAGACTTCTGGAGCCACGTCTGTGCAGAAAGCACGTGGGTGTTCGCGGGCCCGCACCCCCGTGTGCATGCGGATGGCTCCCCCGTGTGCGGTACGAGTCTGTCCTGCAGCCGCGGGGATCCTTGTGTGCCCAGTGAAAGTGTCAGAAGTTAACCTGCGAGTGAATTTACATCAATAAAATGTCTACTAGATGCCCAGAGGGGTGTGTTGCCTTAGTGGGGCATGTCCGTGGGCCTGGCCGCGCTCACAGATGTACGGTCCCTGCTCGCCGTGCGTCCTTGCGGCCTTCACTGCACACAGCTCAGGCACGCTCCCCTCGACCCTCCCCCCCCACCCCTCCCCGGCTCCGAGCCCACGGTCATGGTTTCAGAACACCTTTGATAATAAAATCGGGTTTGGGAAGCAGTAACGGAGTCGGCCGTGACCACCAGGCTTGTTTGCAACAGATCTTGCACTAGTTGTCATTTATTTTTGATCTACTAAAAAACAGTGAAACTTTTGACATGTCCACCAGAAACAACACACTCAAATAACATGGAAGAAAAGGTCTGCGGATGTCTTTTTTCTATTTAATCATCTTACACACTTATCTAACTGGCAATTTTGTAAACATATACTTTAATGTCAAGATTCAGGTTGAAACAGCATTTTCTTACAAAGATTGTGAATTGAAATGTCATCATTGGGTTTGCAAGTTGCCACACCAGCCCCGCCCAGCCTTTCCTGCCTGCTTCTTACATCAAAGGAGTTCTGGTTCACAAAATAAAAATTAGTCTTGGCTCCCCAGCAATTACATTTTCACTTTTCCAACATAAGTTTTTGAAAACTATCTTGCTAACAGGGCTGTTGGTGCGAATTTATTCATAACAGAAGAGAACATAAAGACCAAAGGGGTTTCGTTCCTATTCAGCACATCACAGAGCAGATGGACTACCCACAGGAGGACAGAGTCCTGGAGCCCACGGCCCAGGGACCTCGCTTTCCACAGCCCCTCACCTCACTTGCTGGGACACGGTCTGCATGCGCTGGAGCAAAACACGGGTGCTCTCTGCACCAAGATGCCAACTCCAGTTTGGGGGGGAGCTGGAACAGAGCCCCCCGAGTGTGCCTAGCTGCGGGACACTCGCACACTTAGGGATGAGCATGGGGAAGGAAAGCGCGCTTGCCCTATATCCTTCCTTCTCTACATCTCTCACTACCATGCGTCTTGGAGACGGCACTGTTGCTGCCTGACTGAAGGTCGGGAGAACTTCTGAAGTACAGTTTGCTCTTAGCAAAGTGGGGCTCACTCTAAATATGGCTGTGGAATAAGGACTGCAAACAGCGAGGGTGGGGGAAGGTAAAAAAACCAATTCCACAAAATGCATTATTTATCTGAATCCAAACCCCTGGCGTATCCGATGTAAATTTATTTTTTGATAGCATCCAATAAGTCCCAGTAAAGTAGCTAAATTAAGACTCCTTCTCACGGAAAGTGGTGTCAGAGCTCTTTAAGCAGTGCTGAGATGCACTTGGGCCCGTGGGCGGCTGGCAGCAAGGTTTATTTGCAAAGCGGCATCAGCAGACAAGCAGTTGCACCATAAATGAGCGACCTCTAAATTACCGGGAATTATATTTAATGAAACGTCCCTCCGAGTCCCTTTGTTACCTTCAAGTGACACATCGCAAGGAACCTGCCCACCTCACTGGGCCGACTTCTCGGCGGCTTCGGTCTCCTGCTCGGACAGCTTCTCTTCCGACAGAACGGACATCCAGGGTGAGACCGAGCGTGTGATGCTCTGCTTGGCCAGGTTGTAGTGGTTGATGACGGTGTAGAATTTCTCCCGGGCGCTGGAGTCTTGCTCCGAGTAGTAGCTCTCCAAGCCTTCTGGAATGCACTGCGTGTTCTGAAAGATAGAAGAGGCCCCTGAGTCACGTGCATCAAGGCTGGAGGGATGCCAGTGTGGGTCTCCAGGTAACCCCCCCCCCCCCAGATGTTTACTGAGCACCTTCCTGGGGCGAAGAGGAGAAATACACTGATGAGCAAAAGCGGGCACGGGTCCTGGCCTTGGCACAGCCCAGGGACCACCCGACAGCGATTTACGTCATGACAGGGCTGACCTCTCTAACACAGCGGTGCTCGGGGGGCGTGTGTGTAACAGGACGGTGGCCTTCCTGCTTCACTGAAGAGCTTACACTAGTTGTCATTTATTTTACATCTGCCAGAAACCACATACTCCAATAGTGAAGGGAGGAAAGTCAGAAAGGCCTCCTGGGAGCTAGGTTTTGTAGTAGGCCTTATCCGGGGGGGGGGGGGGGTTTGTAGTAGGCCTTATCCGGGGGGGGAGGCAAAGGCAGGGCAGGCCGGCCTCACAGACAGTGAGCAGCACGGGGAACACACTGGGTGGCCTGGGTCAGAGAGGCAGCCATACAAGGCCTGCAAGGTCCTGTTAGGGAGCAGTGTGACCTTGTGACCCAGAGAGCAGCAGGACGTCCCCGAGGACCCCAGACAGCATGTTGTGGGGGGGGGGGCACTATCCCAGGCAGCTGTCCACAAAGGAAGAGGCTTTGTCCCTACAGGCCACAGAACCCTGGGGAGGTGAGGGCTGGGGGAGACCAGCCCATAGCTCTCATCAGCTCACAAAAGGTCTAGGACCGCAAACAGTTAAGACCCTACACCCCAGGCTGCCTTTCCTTATCAATCAGGAGGCAACCTAAGCCCCTGCCCCACCACAGCTGGCGTGGCCAGCCCACACAATAGCTGTGGGGCTCAGCAAGCCCACAGGGGAGGGGGTGCGGCCGTGATCGGCTCCCCTAGCCACCCCCCAGGGCTAGGCAGGCACTGGCGCCCAGCGCTCCTGGCAGCCAGGTGAGGCCATGGGGCTAACTTCTGGCCGGTGGGACAGGAGTGGTCTGTCCGCTCTCTCCCGCGGCCCTTCCCCGGCTGGCTGACTGCACAGGGAAGGGTGATACCCTGGGGGCTGGCAGGGCAGCAGACGACAGACTCGGGGCTCCAGGGTGACCTCACAGAGCCCTGCCGCCTTCCCGCTGGAGCCTTAACGGGACAGAGGTCGCCCTTCCATCTCGTGGAAGCCCCGTTTCCTGTGTCTAAGCAACCAAAGCAACGCACGAACGCCAGCCTCACCATCAGACAACGAAGGGAGACCGCAGCTAAGACCGGTGCCTGGCCTCGGCCACCTCCACGGTCACCAGGAAGAGCTTCACAGCCCGGATTCTCCGCCCACCCTGAGGGGTCTGACTCGGCACATCTGTGCAGGAGCAATCCGTATACTTCAACAGCCCAGATGATTCTGAGGCTCGGCACACTGAGTGCCGTCTGTCTTGGCTGTGGTCACCCTGCTGGTACACGCACAGCTGGGACCTGTAGCCCAAGCGCCGCCCAGGGCACTCTGACCAACTCCCAGGGCTTAGCAAGAAACCCAGCCGCTCAGAGTGTCCACTTACCCGCCCGGGGCAGGCACCATGTGGACAACATGACAGGACCTCTTAGGACCGCATCTCTGGGCACCGTGGGCCACCGCTAGGATGGCCGGCCACAGCTGCTGCGCCGTGGACGTGGGCCCTGGGAGACCTCAGGGCCAGCCCGGGATGCGGCCGGGGTATCTCCTCCAGGAGCCTCGCCCCGGCCGGGGCCCAGCTTTTTTTGCTCAATCTCTGAAAGCTAAAGGCGGGTCAGGGGGGCTGCTCCTTGAGGTCTTCCTGTAGATTCGAGGCCCACCTGCCATTTCCCTGGCAGAAGAAAACGGGACTGGGGTTTTGCCTGCCACACTGTTCTCCTCCTGACCTTCTCTCCGTCCCTGACAGTTTGCCAGGTGCTTTCCACGCACGTTCTCTCGCTGTGAGGAAGCTTCCAGCAGTCTGCTTTTATAGACGGCCAAGGAGACCCAGGGAGGGGAGGTAACTCTCCAGTCTGGGCTTCCCGGTGGGAGCGCCCAGAACCACCCGCCCCCCACACTGTCACCGTGCGAAGCCACCAGCAGATGACCCACTCAAACACAAGACAGTGAGAAGCAGAGGCAGTGAGCCCCGCCCTGGGGCCTCTGGGGCAGAACCACTGTTTGCCCAGGGCACTGACAGGCTCGGATCCAGCCAGCGAGCCGGCCCGGCGCACGCAGGCCTCAGCACGCAGGCCCCAGCACGCAGGCCCCAGGAGCCAGGTGCAGCTCTCAGTTCCCAGCGCACATGACCAGCTCAGCCTTCAGCACCCTCGCAGGCCAGGGCCATGGTGCTCCTCTGGCAGTGCTCGGGGGGTGGGGGGCACTGCAAGGCCTGCCTGGCAGGGCTGCTGTGACCCAAACCAGGTGAGCACCATGGCCTACGTGACATCCTCTCGGGCAACAGACTGTTGTCCTCTTCTGAACCCGGAGGGCTCCCCAGCGTGTGGGTCCACGTAGCCTGGCATCTGCCTGGGGTCAAAAGCAGGGACACAGAGCTGAGCACGTGATGTGTGGCAAGACACAAGGCATGACACCCCAGTCACGGAAAAGCTCCCGTGCACTCAGACGTGGAGGCCTCTCATGATGGAGGTCCCTCTCCCCTTGGAGGGTTCTCCCGGGATACCGGCCTCGGGAGTGTCAGCGTGAAGTGACCAGGCGTGGCTGGGGAGCGGCACTCCCACGGGCGGGCTGCCCAGCATGTTCAGAAGCCGTTCGTGCCAGCCCCATGCCAGGCCCCAGGGATGCCAAACACAACAGTCAGGTAAGAAGCCACAGTGCGTCCAGGCTCACACAGCGGACGGGAAAGATCAGAAGCTGTAGGGGCACCACCCAGGGGACGCCTGCATCTCATCAGCAGCTCGAACCCTGCCATCTTTGGGCGTCAGGAAGCTGCAGGCCCCGTCCAGGAAGGCGGCCACCTGCTCCCCTGCCAGCGCGGCCACCTGCCCTTCGCGCTGTCCTGCCCTCCTCCGCTCGCCAGCATAGGGTCCTGCAAGGCGCTGGGCAGCGCGAGACACCACGCCAGGCCACGATGGGGCCTCCAGACCCGAGGGAATACCTCCCCCTGCCCTCTGGGGACCGGGGGCTCCCAGGGAGGTCTGACCCCGCCCCTCTCAGGCCAGAAATCACAGCCCCGTGCCCCTCTGTAGGCGAGTGTGGGGAGGTCACCAGACCTATCCGCCGCTCACTCCCTCGGGGCCCAGGGAGGTAACCCAGGCAGGCGGGTTCCCAGCAGCCCCTGGCCCGCAGCCAGCGCTAGTAAGTGTGCCTCGTGCACGAGATCCCTGGGGAGAAGGCGTGTGTCTGCTGACAGTCTACGAGGAATACCCAAATGTCAAAAAACGTAGGGTTTGGGTAATTTCCCATTACACTCAAAACCTCTCCGTAAGACTCCTATAATTACTGCACGGTTTCAGGACAAAGGCAGAAACGTCGCATCCTCCCCAGCCCGAACCTGCCCTCCTAAATCCCCCAGTGACACTCCCGGTCGGGGCGGCCCGCGCCCCCTCTTACCCACAGCGCAGTCACGGGCGCACGCCTGCCCTCGGGCTCACGCCAGGACCTCTGTGGCACCTGGGTCCATCCGCCCTTCCCACGGGGCCCCTCTCTGGCTCTGGGGGTCAGCTGGGTCCTCAGTCCATGCATGCATGCCCAGACCACCCGCTTGCTAAACTGACTCCTCATTCAGTCTGCACCCCCAGATGACCCGGAAGAGGTGACCCCAGGCTCTCACAGTCACCCTGGTTTCTTCTCTGCCTGGCACTCAGCAGTGTCCACACCATCTGGGCATCTGCCTGTCTACTTGCCGCTTGTCTCCTCCACTAGAACACAGGCCCCAAGGGTAGGGCCTTGACTCCTGTCCGGCGCTGGGAGCCCAGCACCCAGCCGGGGACAGCATAGCGGCACTTAATGCATGCTTGCTAAATACTCAAGTCATACCGCAAGGCGTGACCTTGGACACAATGATGGTTGCGTCTGTACTGCGTCTTCCCACGGGTAAAGTGGGGATCTGACAGTATCTACAGAAGGCTTTTGGGAGCATTCACAAATACTAGTGCAAAAGCCTCTGTAAGCTGTCGGGGTCTGCGTGGGACCTGCACCACCTCCAGCTTTAGCCGAGGGCTTTCAGGCACAGACTGGGAGCTCCCCAGTCCTCCCAGCCATGGTTTCCAGGGAGGCCACCTGCCCCCAATTAGACGGAAAGGCCAGTGGACAATGCCGAAGTCCCAAGAGACGCAGCTACAGAAGATCACTGGACTCCCAAATTCCCAAGGCTGGCTGGGCCCCAAGCTCAGCCGTAGAGCCTTCTGAACACAGAGACCTGCCCTCTGCCCTGCAAGGGCTTCCTCTCTCGGACTCCACCTGCCCGGACCAGGTTTTCTAGCAGAATTGGCCTTGCAGGCCGGGTAGTTTTAGCCTGGCCCCCTCCTCCACGCAGGCAGCCTGCCCCGGCCCAGAAGCAAACCCCGGGTCCTCCTGATGGAGCTGCTCGCCCCAGTGGTTTGTGAGCAGTCTGTCCAGGCCCCAGGAGGCTATCTTCTGCACACCCGGTTCCCATCGGGGCACCGCTCCTGCGTCTGCTTTGCTTCCTCTCCATGACATCAGCCCCTCTGCGTCACGGGGCTCTGGACCAGGTCCTCCCCTGCATCCCTCCCCCCAGTCATGTGGGTGTCCTCTCTCCGTCCCCAGCACCCTGAGCAGGCCAGACCCTTGTCTCTCCCCAGGCTCCCTATGGCAGCCTCCTGGGCCATCACACCAAACCTCCAGCCTCCCAGGGCCACCGAGTGGCCGACCCATCACTTCCTCCCCTGGCGGCCGTTGCCTGGCCCGTGACGTCTGCAGAGTCTGGCTCACGTCCAACTGCCCCCAGTCCTCCAGGCCGACCAGACCTGCCCCGCCCTGCGGTCGCCTGCGGCGCCACTGCTCCCCGAGCCCGCCTCGGTTGGCCCTGCCAGCCTCCAGTGTCAGCGAATGGGCTTGCTTGGTCAAGGGCAGCCCTCCCCTCCTCGAAGCCCCCAGGCCCTCTGGGTTGGCCTCCTTTAAACCGTGGTGCCTCCTGAGCTTCCAAGCAGACCATAACCTCTCCCAGCCCATCCGGAGGGTGGATGGGTTCGGTGAAGACGAGGGGGTGTCCCCCAGGTCCCCGCACAGCTCTCTCACTGGCCTCCTATGAGCGTTGCTCAAACGTGACCGTCCTTCTAGAACCTGCTTTGCCCTCCTGTTTTCCAGTGCTTATGACCTCACTCGGTGTACGACTGACTTCACGTTTCTTTTGAGAATAGCAGGGAGCGTCCCAAAGGTGGGGCTCTTCAGCTGATGGGTCCTGGCCGGAGTAATAGCGGCCGTAGCCGCCGCACGGCAGGCCACACACATACCTGCCGAGCAGAGGGAGGGCTGGAAGGCAACATGAATTCTGGCTTTGCCTGCTAACTCGTGCGAGGGTCCTGTGTCCCTCGCGCCGCCAAACCCTAAAGCAAAGTCACCGGGTGGCAGCCGACAAACCAAGCCCCTCCGCGTGTGCGCTCGGCGTGGGCTCCTCCTGCTTTAATTTCAGCAATGCCACATCCTGCCCCTGATCTTTTTCCCTCTTCACCCTGGCTGCGGGGAGTTCGGAACCGAGTGTGGGGGAGATGGGAGCAGGTCCACAGTGAGTCCGCTTCACTTCCTGGTGCTTCACCTCTTCCCCCTCGTCGCCTCCCCCTTGTTTTGGTCCTTAGTTCTCTTGCTCCCGGTCGGCTTGGGTGCCACTTGGCAGCCCTTCTGGAACACGGAGGCGTCGGAGCACGGCATGCATCTGCACGCGTGCGGAGGGCTCAGCCGAGGGGGCGGCCGGGGGGGGCGTGTGCCCAGCCCTGCCCCCAGCCCCCCTCGCGCAAGCCCTTCCCCCCTCTGGGTCTCTGCTCCCCCGGGGTTAGGTCAGTTCCCAGGAGCCTCCTTGCTACAGGGTCGCCTCGCCATCTCCCCCTGTCCCCCCCCCCGCCTCCCTTCCCTGCTCCCTCCCACAAGGGTCCCCTGGGGGGCGGGGGCGGGGCGGGGGAGCCTGGCCAGAGCCCTGGGCCCCTCCTGGGGTGCCTTACCTTGAGGACGAAGCCATCGGGGCAGGCACGGTCATACTTGTACACCTTGTAGACGACCAGGAAGACGACACAGGTGAGGAAGGCCAGGGCGAAGACGACCAGCACGGACACCTGCGGGCAGAGCGGGGCTGTCAGGGGGCTGCGAAGACCGCGTGCGGGGGCGGCCAGCCAGAGAGCGTCCGCAGAGCCCGTCTGTGGTCGGAGCCCCAGCGGAGCCCCAGGAGGCTCCAGGGACGAGCGGTCAGCGGGACAACCTTCTCACCACGTCACAAGCTCTCTCTCGGGTAAATGGCCCTGCGTGGGGAGCTGGGGGTGCAGGCACGACCGAGCGTCATGGACACTGGGAAGCATAGTGGAGCCGGCCTGTGGGTTGCCTTTCCGCCTGCTGCCAGGGACTGCGGTGACGCACCAGCCACCGGCTCATCAGCCATTCCAGATGTCTCCCGCCCCGGGGGCACCAGCCCTGCTGCTGGGCCGGGACCAGCGAAGCGGGAAGGCCAGAATCTCTGGGGCTCTCGTCACCTCTGCCCTCAAGTCTCCCGCGTGCTCAGTTGTGTGCCCCCGCCAGAGGGCAGTCCCCACGGTCACTGCTGTATGCCAAGCCGGCCGGCACATAGTGTGTGCTCAGCCGACATGTGCGGGTGGGTGCGAGACAGGACAGCGGGCACGGAGGTGGGAGATCCTGCACGGCCAGGGGCTGCGGAGCGCGGGGACAAAATGAGGGTGCTCGCTTGGCTGCTGGGAGAGCGCCCCCCACCCCCACCCCCCACGCAGGGGCAGGGCATGGCCGGAGGCTTAAAAGGCCGTGCAAAGCCTCGGCAGCCCAGGTTGGGGGAGTGTGAGCCTCCCGACCCCGTGAGCAGACACAGCTTTCAGGCTCCTGAAGGGGGGCGGATTCAGAGGCTGTGCAGCCCTGGGTGCCGGCATGGGGCAGGGGCTCCATCAAGGTCAGCGACTCCTCCAGCCCCGGCCCTCCCGGGGGCCCCACCAGCTCCTTCCCCTGCCAAGCCTGGGCGGAACCCCGCCACCTCCGGGGGGGGCTGCAGAAGAGGCTGGGGGCAAGCCCCCAGCGACAGTGCCCCGAGCCATGCCCTGGCCTCAGGAGCCCTGGGCACGTGTCCCCCGACCCCGCGGGGCCTCCGTTACTGTACAGCCTCTCCACCTGTGAAAGAACAGAGCAGCGCTGGGCCCCATGACAATATGGGTGTGAGGAATGCCCCCCAGGGGGACAGGTGGACAGATGCCCGCCCGGGCGTCCCCCTCCACCCGCCTCAGGCACGCCTCTCTGGCCCCCGGCCCCCTCACCCGTGACACAAGAAGACACTTCCCCACCTCGCAGGTGCTGTGGGGGTACGAGGGCGGCAGGAACTGGGCAGATGCCCACAGAGAACGACAGGGACTCCCGTTTCCCAGGCTCTTCGCCACCAGCCTGCAGGGTCCTCCCCAGGCCTGTGGGGGGCGGTGGGGAGCCCCAGCCAGGCACCAGGGCTGGGGCCGGCCCGACCTAGAGCGCCGTCCCTTTCTGGCCCACTCCAGGTGACCCTCACACCCCGGGGCCCACGAGCACCCAGACGCTCCCTCTTGCATGCCCACCCCTCCCCAGCTCGCGCTCGCTGGGCCGGGGCGACCCCTGTCCCTGAGGCCCCAAGCACACAAGAAGCCTCTGCGTCACCCCCCATGAGGCCCTCCCCCCCCGTCCCTAAGTCCCCCCCATCCCCCTCACCATCTCTGTCCTCCACCCCCCTCTTCCCTTCCTGTGACCTGGGGACACCGTCACCTGGACCGTCAGGGCCGTCACCCTCTCTAGGGCCAGAGAAACTGCAGTCGGCCTGGACGGTCTATACTGCAGATGGAGCCCATGCCCGACACACAGACACTGGATGAAGTCACCGATACTTTGGGGCCCAAAGTGCCCACAGGAAAGGCACCACAGGGTTTCGGTGGCGGCTACAGCAAGAACACCACCACAGACCCGAGAAAGCCCGGGGGGACGGCAGGGGTGGCTGAGCATGGAGCTGAAGGAGGTCAAATGTGCAGGACAGGCAAGGGGGCGGCAGCCCCAGGGCCACACGGCCACAGACGCAGCAGCTGGGACCCTCACGCTTTCCAACGCGAGCAGCAGCCTCGCTGGGGCTGACACCTGGGATGGGCAGCTCTGCGCAAGCGGCTCAGCTCCTCTGGGTCAGGCCCCTGCCTGCCAGGGGCAACAGGAGGACCCAGCTCCCAGGGCCGGGGGAAGGGCTGACGACAGCGCCCGGGCACAGTGCACGCCGGGAAGGAAGCGTTGGCCCTTGTTGCCGCAGGAGCCACCCCCTGTCGCTCCCGCCCTCACTCGGGTCACACGGCCAGCAGATGCAAAGCTGGGCTCTCACCCAGGCCACGTAGCCTCCCTCATGCCCACTGCCCTGTCCTACCCCAGCCTCCTCCCCAGATTCACCCCAGATCTGCCTGCCGAGGACCCAGCTACCCGCTCGCAGCCCCTGGGGGCAGCAAGCTTCAAGGGCTCTGCACCGTCCAGGGCAGCAAGGCTGCCTCACCCAGGCAGGGTGGTCTGTGGGAAGAGCTGTATTTAATATAACTAGTTTCCTTCAGAACCCTTTGTATTTTTTTTCAAGTAGGCTCCACCAACATGGGGCTTGAACTCACGATCCTGAGATCAAGACCTGAGCTGAGACCAGGAGTAGGACGTTTAATGACTGAGCCAGCCCACATGCCTCACAACCCTTTGTACTTTAGGCATTTGAAAACATGCCCAAAAGAGGCCCATGCCACGCAGTAGGTTCAGAAGCCCTGCTAGACTGTTATCTCCTCAGTGAAATATTAGCAAACTGGATTCAATAATACATTAAAAGGATCATACACCATAATAAAACAGGATTCATTCCAGGGATGCAAGGATGGTTCAACACCCGCAAATCAATGTGATACATCACACGAATAAAATGAAGGATAAAAACACGTGACCATCTTCAAGAGATGCCGGAAAAGCGTTTGACAAAATTCAACATCCATTTATGATAAAAACTCTCAACACGGTATAGAGGGAACATGCTTCAACATAATAAAGGCCCATCTAGGACAAGCCCACAGCTAACATAGTAATGGTGAAAAGCTGAGAGCTTTCCCTCTTAAGATCGGGAACAAGACAAGGATGCCCACTCACGCCACTTCTGTTCACCATATACTGAAGTCCAAGCCAGGGCATTTCCACATTGGAAAGGAAGAAGTAAAACTGTCACTATTTGCAGGATGACATGATATTACATATAGAAAACCCTAATGATTCTACCAAATAACTCTCAGAACCAATCAACAAATTCGACAAAGTTGTAGGACACAAAACCAATACACAAAAATATGCAGTGTTTCTATACATAATAGCAAACCATCAAAAAGACAAAATAAGAAAGCAGTCCCATCTGGGGCGCCTGGGTGGCTCAGGTGGTTAAGTGTCTGCCTTCGGCTCAGGTCATGATCCCAGGGTCCTGGGATCGAGCCCCGGGTCAGGCTCCCTGCTCAGTGGGAAGCCCGCTTCTCCCTCTCCCACTCCCCCAGCTCATGCTCTCTCACTCTATGCTCTCTCTTAAATAAAATTAAAAAAAAAAAATCCCATCTGTAATTGCATCTAAAAGAGTATCAATGAACAGGTTTAACCAAGGAGGTGAAAGACCTGTACACTGAAAACTCTAAGACGCTGATAAGAAAACTTGAAGATGACACAAATAATGGAAAGATATTCCGTGTTCATGGTTTGAAAGAACTAATATTGTTTAAATGTCCGTTCTGCCCAAAGCAATCTACAGGTAGAATGCAATCCCTATTGAAATTCCAATGGCATTTTTCACAGAAATGAAACAATCCTCAAATCTGTATGGAACCACAAAAGACCCCAAATAGCCAAAGCAATCATCTTGAGAAAGAAGAACAAATCTGGAGGTATCGTGTTCCCTGATTTCAAACTATATCACAAAACAAAAGCAATCAAAACAGTGTGGTACTGACAGAAAATTAGAATACAGACCCCAGACATGACCCTACACATACACGGTCCATTAATTTATGACAAAGGAGCCAAGAATATGCACGGGGAAGGACAGTGTCTTCAGTAACTGCTACTGGGAAAACTGGACAGCTACATGCAAAAGAATGAAACTGGACCACCTTCTTACACTATATACAAAAACTAACTCAAAAGCAATTAAAGACTTAAACACAGGACCTGAAACTATAAAACGCCTAGAAGAAAACAGAGTTAAGCTCCTTGATATCAGTCTTGGCGATGATTTTTTTAAATCTGACACCAAGAACAAAGGCAACACATGCAAAAATAGACAAGTGGGGCATCAAACTAAAAGTGGAACAGCAAAGGAAACCATCAACAAAATGGAAAAGCCGGCCTCCCGAGGGGGAGAAAATATTTACAAGTCACATGTAGCAGATAAGGGGGGTTAAGGTCCAGAATACATAAGGCACTGCTACAACTCAATGGCAAAAAAACAAACAATCCCATTTTTATAGTGAGTGTTTGTGTTACACAGTTGAAATTACTATAACGGTATATGTCAAACAATCCTCAATTAAAACACACACACACACACACACACGCGCGCGCGCACACACACACACAATCTCACATCCTAGGGCATTCTTAAACCTGTCCCTTGAATTTGGAAGCCACGCCTGTGTTGGGTTCCCAGCGCCCCATCTGTTTAGGTTTAAAAATAAGCCCCATCTCTCGGCGGGGCTGCGAGGAACCACTTTCTCTGGGGCCCTCCTCCTGGAACCTGGCCTGGGCCTTTCATCCGGGATTCCCCAGGCCCGATGACCGAGGAGCTCACAGAACCAAGAAAAGAGACCGTGACAGTTCCTGCAATAGTCAAGGGAGAGGGGCAAAGAAAGACATCCACAGACAGTCAGGAGGGGGTGCCTGGTGTGGCAAAACCCTTCCCCTGCAGGCTGTCCCCATTTCCCACCCCCACACCTCTGCAAACCCTGAGCCTCTCCTGGGCCCAGAGTCTGCACAGGCCTGGGAAGTGCCCCACAGTAGGAAGAGAAATGTGGGTTTCCTATTCACCATGTGGCAGAGTGCACCCCTGTGGGTTATCATGGCC